ACTTCATTATCTTTTCCTAATTGCAAAATTAACCCAAATCTTCACTCACAACTAAAAATAAAATGTGGAAATTAATTTAATGAAAGTATTTTTTTTTTTTTTTTTTTTTGAACAAAGAAAGTAAAACAAGAGGCAAACAAAGCCTAAACGGAGCAAACATCTAGGCCAATACTAACAACAGAGCAACAGCAGGTGGAGGTTGGGAAACCCAATTCAGTGGAAGACGACCACACAAAAATTCTTGAGCGACCCAAAGTACCAAAAATGCTAGAGGTCCCAAAAATTCTATCAAAAGTTTTACCAAAGTTTTACCAAATGTCTCACATGGGTATGAGACTCACATGGGACCCACATTGTGTGGGTCCCACACCCCATGTGAAACATTTGGTAAAATTTTTGATAGAATATTTGGAGTCTCTAGCATTGACAGGGAACAGAATAATTTAATGAAAGTATATTACTATTTAAAAATAATACAATAATTTTTTCATTATTTTTCCAACTGCTTAGAAATCCATGCATCGTCCAACCAATTATTTTGATTATATGTGTGACCCACCAAATCTAAGAGTTTGTTTCCACTTCGACTTCTTCTTCATTTTCTTTTCCGTAATTGCAAAATCAACCCAAATCATCATTCTAATTGCAAATTATTATGTAAAAATTAAAACTAAATCATTAAACTCACAACTAAAAATAAAATGAGAGAATTAATTTAATGTAAGTGTATTAATGATTAAAAATAATAAAATAATTATACATTTTTAACCATTCATCACACCCCCAACCAATTTATTGCTAGTTCCTAGCAATCAAGGCGGCTACAAAAAAAAACTATGCTTTACAAAAACACAAAACCAAGGTACACTAAAATTACTCTAGACCATTTTCGTAGGAAAATGCAATTGTATTTAGCATATATGCAACAAGAAAGGTGGCACAAACTTTTTCAAATTCTTTAATGTGCAAGTAAAGTAATGCAATCATACATGATTTAAAATTAAAATTATATGCATTAAAAGAAAAAATAATACAAGAGAGAACACTACTCCTTGTGAGTTGCAAATAATCACGCAAGGTTCAAATACGTTGAACTATTGAATTTGATTTTTCTCATTATCGTTAGTACCATTATTTGCCACTGTGTCAGGTGTGTGAGGATGTGCAAATAAATCAAATTCAAATTCAAATTCAAAAAGATTACCAAATAATGTATCTGAATCAGAATCAATTCTTACCAAACGACCAAAATGACCATGATACTAATGACTAATTGTTTTTTTTTTCAAAAATAAATAAATAAATAAGCTAAGACTAACACACAACATAACTTTTCTTTTTCCTTTTTTTTAGCTACTGTCACGCAGTATACTTTTTTTATATAATAATAAATAACGCAAATTCTACTTTATCAATAAAAATAAAAATAAAGTAAATGGAAAGAGTTTACCAAAATTGTATCGTAATGCAAACCTCCTCGGTATTTTTGAGATAATGACGTGATGGCCAGTAATGGTGTCAAAAATTTGTAGCAACTTTAATATTACAATTTCAAGCGTAAGATGTTGCGAAATAATACATACCGATGAGCTGAAGGTTGAGTCTTAGAGGCCAGTTTCTTCAAAAAAACATGACCGAGCAATCAAATAAAATAAAGAAAAAGATAATTTTGAATTTTGGGAGTGATTGGATAATCTAAGAGAAATTAATTAACTAAAAGACAAAATTGAGGTGTCAATAATAAAAATGTGTTAAGGCATCAAGAATTCTCCACTAATATTTTCTTTAAAATATTTCATATTCAATTTATATAACTTAATTGAGACATGGTATTATTAATCAGAAGATAAAAACGATTATTTTATATAAAAATTAATTTCAAAAGATTGATTATTTTGACTAATTGATTACACTATAAAAATTTAATTATTTGATTTATAAGGAATATCAAGTTTCTATCGTACTCGGAGTCTATGATAGAACAAGGGATTATACAGAAGAAAAAAATTTCTCAAATAAATAAATCAATCAATAAAAATAATCTAACATTAAAAATCATGGTTGAATCATAAAATATTTATAAAGAAATTATTAAAGTTTCACCCCTAACCTTAACACATGCACACACAAAAGAAAAAAAAAAATTAAAATACCATAAAAATAAACTAAAAATCTATATGTAAAAAAAATGTTTTATGGAATGAATCCTCTCCTCAATAGATTAACAAGTATTTATAGTGATTCCTAAGGCCGTGAATTTGTGGTGGTTCGAGTATCATCCTACTATTTGTTTTGATTATCTGTGTGAGCCACCAAATCTAATTGGCCTGGTAATGTAAAGAGTTTGCTTCCACTCTGGCTTCTAAAAAAAAAAAAAAACTGAAAACTCAAAATGGAAACACATTTTTTGTGTTTTCATTTTTTGGCTAAATTTATAAACTGAGACCACTGATTTATAAATTAAAATTTTACCAAACAAGTTTTTATTTGAGTTTTTTAAATTTTTGTAAATATAAACAGAAAACTGAAAACGTAAGTGTTACCAAACAGCACCAAAGTGTTTACCAAAATTGTATCGTAATGCAAACCTCTTCGGTATTTTTGAGATAATGACGTGATGTCCGGTAATGGTGTCAAAAACTTGTAGCAACTTTAATATTACTAGTGCGTGGCACACACGATGTGTGTGCAATTTAAATAAGTAGGAATAAAAAATAATAATAATGAAATTAATATTATAATGTGTACTTAGCTTAAGTGGTATGAGTTCTCGTATTTAAACCCATGGTCATGGGTTCAAGCCTTGCCCATCTCTTTGAGAGTAAAGTTTCAGAACACCAAAGTTCCTGTTCACTTTATAATAGTATAGATAGATAATTCCAAGCATAAGATGTCGCGAAATAATATATATGGATGCGCAGAAGGTGGAATCTCAGCGGCCAGTTTGTTCAAAAAACATGACCGAGCAATCAAATAAAATAAAGAAAAATCATGATTTTGAATTTTGGGAGTGATTGGATAATCTAAGAGAAATTAATTAACTAAAAGGCAAATTGAGGTGTCAATAACAAAAAGGTGTTAAGGCACCAAGAATTCTATTCAATTTATATAACTTAATTGAGACATGGTATTATTGATAGGAAGATAAAAACGATTATTTTATATAAAAATTAATTTCAAAAGATTAATTATTTTGACTGATTGACTACACCATAAAAATTTAATTATTTGAATTGCAAGAAATATCAAGTTTCTATCGTGCTCGGAATCTATGATAGAACAAGGGATTATACAGAACAAAAAAATTTCTCAAATAAATAAATCAATCAATAAAAATAATCTAACATTAAAAATCATGGATGAATCATAAAATATTTATAAAGAAATTATTAAAGTTTCACCCCTAACCTTAACACATACACACAAAAAAATAAATAAATAAATAAATAAAAATATCATAAATATAAACTAAAAATCTATATTTAAAAAAAAAAATTGTTTTCTGGAATGAATCCTCTCCTCAATAGATTAACAAGTATTTATAGTGATTCCTAGGGCCGTGAATTTGTGGTGGTTCGAGTATCATCCTTCCAATAAGCTTTCTTCTTGCATCATCCATCTAATGAGAAAAAAAAAAAAAAAAATTAAATAAATAAAAATATCATAAAAATAAACTAAAAATCTATATTTAAAAAAATATGTTTTCTGGAATGAATCCTCTCCTCAATAGATTAACAAGTATTTATAGTGATTCCTAAGGCCGTGAATTTGTGGTGGTTCGAGTATCATCCTTCCAATAAGCTTTCTTCTTGCATCATTCATCCACCATCTCATACATCATCCATCTAATGAGTTTTCTTCATGCATCGTCCAACTATTTGTTTTGATTATCTGTGTGAGCCACCAAATCTAATTGGCCTGGTAATGTAAAGAGTTTGCTTCCACTCCGGCTTCTTATTCATGTCCTTTTCCTTAATTGCAAAATCAACCAAAATTTTCATTCTAATTGCAAATTATTCTATAAAAATTTAAAAGTTAAATTTATTTTACCCCCTTCAGTTTGGGACTATAGTACTTTACACCCTTTCGTTCAAATATAGTCCGAACACTCACATGTGATTTTGGATTAAAGTGCTACCATTAGTTTTTAAGAGTGAGTTTTATTTTCTGAGAAATTAAAATGAAATGAATATAACAAAAGAACAATTTTATCCTTATTTTCTCCAAACCTAAAATTAGATTAATATGTTAATTAAAATATAATTAAGAATTAATCTAAAATATAATATATATTATAAATTACGAATTGATTGAAAATATAAATTAAATAAAATATAAAAATAAACAATATTAAGAAGTTGATTAAAATGTAATTAAATTAATTAGATTAACATGTTAGAAATTATAAATAAATAATTAAAGATTTAGGATTAATTGTGATTCTAAAATATAAGTTAAATAAAATTTAGAATTATAATAAATAATTAGAACATTTATAATTAATTGTGATTTAATTGAATTAATACTAGACATTATAGATTATGTGTATGAGATAAGGTTTGAGGATATTGTAGTCATTTCATATTTATAGTTAATGATATTAATGGTTGCATTTTAGACTAAAATCATGTGGGAACATATGGCTATTTTAAAAGATAAGGGATAAAGTGCTATCAAGTCCTACTGTAAGAAGATAAAATAAATTTTGTCCAAAATTAAAACTAAATCATTAAACTCACAACTAAAAATAAAATAAAATAAAATAAAATAATTAATTTATTAAAAATATATTAATAATTAAAAAGAATAGAATAATTTTTCCGTCATCCACCCATTTGTTTTTGAAACCCATGCATGGTCCAACTAATTGTTTTGATTATCCGTGTGAGCCACCAAAATCTAACTGCCCAGCTGATGTAAAGAGTTTGCTTCCACTTTGGCTTCTTCTGCATTTCCTTTAACTTTGCAAAATCAACTCAAATTTTCATTCTAATTGTAAATTATTCTGTGAAAATTAAAAACCAAATCATTAAAGAATTGTATTTGGCACTGCCGGGTTGGGGTTCAACTCGGGCAGGTTCGGCCGGGTTGGGGGTCTGCCCAAGCCCGACCCGAATTGTATTTGGCACTGCCCAAGCCCGCCCAAGCCCGACCATGAACCCGAGAATTGCTGCCCAAGCCCGGCCCGAGCTTTGTATTTTGAACTCGGGTTAACCCGAATTGCCCGAATTGCCCGAGTCCAGAAACCTATAGATAGATCTAAGGGTAGACATAAAAGATTCTAATCTAATGGTAGAAGACTAACCAAAAAAAAATAAAAAATAAAAATTAAGACTAACTCTTTTACTTAATAAAAGACTAATCAAAAATAAAAATAAAAATAAAAATTAAGACTAACTCTTTTACTTAATAAAAGACTAATCAAAAATAAAAATAAAAATAAAAATTAAGACTAACTCTTTTACTTAATAAAAGACTAATCAAAAATAAAAATAAAAATAAAAATTAAGACTAACTCTTTTACTTAATAAAAGACTAATCAAAAATAAAAATAAAAATAAAAATTAAGACTAACTCTTTTACTTAATAAAAGACTAATCAAAAATAAAAATAAAAATAAAAATTAAGACTAACTCTTTTACTTAATAAAAGACTAATCAAAAATAAAAATAAAAATAAAAATTAAGACTAACTCTTTTACTTAATAAAAGACTAATCAAAAATAAAAATAAAAATAAAAATTAAGACTAACTCTTTTACTTAATAAAAGACTAATCAAAAATAAAAATAAAAATAAAAATTAAGACTAACTCTTTTACTTAATAAAAGACTAATCAAAAATAAAAATAAAAATAAAAATTAAGACTAACTCTTTTACTTAATAAAAGACTAATCAAAAATAAAAATAAAAATAAAAATTAAGACTAACTCTTTTACTTAATAAAAGACTAATCAAAAATAAAAATAAAAATAAAAATTAAGACTAACTCTTTTACTTAATAAAAGACTAATCAAAAATAAAAATAAAAATAAAAATTAAGACTAACTCTTTTACTTAATAAAAGACTAATCAAAAATAAAAATAAAAATAAAAATTAAGACTAACTCTTTTACTTAATAAAAGACTAATCAAAAATAAAAATAAAAATAAAAATTAAGACTAACTCTTTTACTTAATAAAAGACTAATCAAAAATAAAAATAAAAATAAAAATTAAGACTAACTCTTTTACTTAATGGGATAAGGGTGTTGCTGAAGTGTTTTTTTACTATATTATTGACTACAAGCACCACATGAACATTATCACGTGACACACCAAGATTACTGAGTAATAATAGTGATAAATGTAACATTACAAAGTTTGAAGAGTTCATGAAAGGGTTTGACTTGCCTATGTGGACTGGTCGGGTCCAATTTGGATACCAGTTTAAAAAAAGAAATTTTTAGTTCTCTGTAGATCATTTTAAGAATAAATAAATAAATAAAACAAGAAAAAATGGGGGAAAAAAATCTTTAAATTGATTCAATAATTATAGTCACATTGCTTCATCACATTTGTCTTCAAAAAATGAATAAATATAATTTTAAAACTACGTCATTTCTAAAAGAAAATTTTGATTAAATCAAATAGTTTTAATTATCACATTATTTTTATATAATTAATTTGTATAAGGGAGCTTAAAAAATTAACGAATCGAATCGTTAAAGAGAAACTAGTAATAAGACAGCTTGAACTGAACCGTCCCAGCGAGAGCTGGACAGAAATAGAGTTCTTTATGGACTTTTAGAATTTGTTTGTGAAAACAAATTTGGTGGAAAAAAAAAAAAAAAAAAAGAGCCCAAAACTCATTATATTCTTATGGTTTTCTGTTAAAAACAATTTTAGAAAATTCACAAATAATTCTTTTGGTGTTTGTGTATGTGGAAATAATTTATAATTAAAAAAAAAATCATAGCAGATTTTGAAAACTCAATCAATAACACATTATGAGAGAGAGAGAGAGAGAGAGAGAGATTTACACATACCTTCAATGGTTGGCAACCAAGGCTTTGAGTAATGACCAGTAGCTACAACCACAGCATCAAACACTTCTTCTACCACCTTCTCAGACTGCTTCGCTTTACTCCTAACAACCCATCTCAAATCTTTTCCAAATTCATTACAATCCAACATTCCCACAAACTCCACCTTAGTATTCAACCTTATCATCTCTCTTAACCCAAACCATTCACAAAAATCCTTCAAGTAAAAAAAAAGTTCCTTATGACCAGGAAACCTCCTAGTATCTCTATCTCCACCTTCCTTCACCACAAATGGAAAGTCAGTGTAACCCATGACTTCTCTTGGAGTGAAAAGCCTTAGTGAGGCATAGACACTACTATGGACCTCTAGGGTATTGTCCCTTCCTAAGGGATCTTCATTTTCAACATTAGGGTTATAGAGCCATTGCCCTCCAACATCATGGTTTTGCTCAAAAACCACCACATTGTGGCCTTCTCTCTTGAGTTCCCTAGCAGCCACCAGCCCTGACGGTCCGGCACCGACCACGCAGACATGCTTTGATTGGTTCTTCTCCATATCCATGGTATAGTGATGAATGTGAGGAGGGTAATAATGTGATGTTTTTGCTATATAGTTGAATTGGTATATATAGAATTATTATGGCTAATATTGTTTGCATAAATACAACTATAATAACTAATTGAGTAACCTTCCGGAAATGTGATTTTTACGGGCGTCCACTTATATGGTGCCACATAAGGAAAAATATGATGTACAACAATTGTATCTTTTCCCACATTTCATCTCTTTAATCTGGTTTTTTTCACCGGCTTTACCTAATTTTTCAAATTTGGTCACTGAAAGTATGAATGATAAAAAATAATCACCTTGCTTGTTTCCATTTTTCAAAAAACACTTTTTCAGAAAATTTTCTGTGTTTTTTTACTTTTTACTAAATTTTTTGAATATTTTAAGCAATTTTTTTTACTTTTTAGACATACCTAACATAAATACACCTAAAAAGTAAAAAAATTGTAAAAAAAGTCTTTTAAAAATTTACTAAATACCAAAAATATAAAAAAAAAATACAAGAATTCAGTACATTTTTTGTATTTTTACGTATTTGTTAATTTTTAAAAATATTTTTTCACAATTTTTTTACTTTTTAGATACATCTAAGTAAAGTGCATCTAAAAAAGTAAAAAAAAATGTTTATAATTTAAAAAATATTCACTAAAAACAAAAAAATACGAAAATCAAAAAATTTAATTTTTAAAAAATTTAATCCAAAAAACTTAAACCAAACACACTGAATGGTGTCAAAGACTTTTCCACAAGCAAACAATAATTTAATTATGCCAAATGGCAATGGCATTCTCACAAAGCTTTTTTCCTAAGTTAAAACCTCTTCTTTTTTTTTTTTTTCACCTATTCACTTACAACGTCTATTATCTTTTACTCTTTGTGGTCATGTTTGTTTGACTCTTTAAAAAAAGGAGATTGAACTAATAGTTCATGAGACTCACTTAGAGAGTGTTTGGTTAGGGATATGATTGAGGGGATTAACTATCTCCTTGGACTAATAATTCCCCATGTGGTAGGACTAACAAAGTCATGGGAGGGTTGGGATTAGAAATTGAGTGAAGGGATTAGTGACATTTTAAATAATTTTTAAGCAAAAAATATATTTTTTAGAATAAAAAAATAATTATAATATTAAAAAAAATACTAAAACTTAAAAAATATTTAATTTATATATTAATACTATCTATAGTATTACTAATCCGTTGGTGTACAAACAAACACTATTTATCCTACATCTCTAACATAATATCACCATACTAATAATTTCCTCACTCGATCTAATTGTACTTTTAATCCCCTCCACCTTACGGAGCGAAACAAACATTGCCTAAAATTTCTTATACTTATTTGAGATCCCTTCTGAATGGTTGTTTGTAATTTAAATAACAAAGGTACCTCGATAACAAGTCAAATTTATTTCCAATGGGACTTCATTTGGACCAACAGCACAAATTTACCCTCGATATAGAAAACAATCCCAACATAGGTGCATGTCCTTTTCACTCATCACTTATGACCATATGATTTGATTTTCTTTAACTTAAAAATGAAATCATGTGGTTGTGTGTGTATGGAACAAGAAACCGGCATCTTTTTTAGTACTGAAAATTTTATACTAACGTATGTATGATTGAACACAAATTCTCTCCTTGAAAAAGAAAGCAAATCATATTTGCTTTCTTTAACTTAAAAATGTGTGTGTGATGGAAAAGAAAGCAAATATGATTCATTGCATTACCGGCAAAAGGAGAAACAAACTACTGGAAAAGACACAAAATATTTTATAAGAAGAAAAATATTGAATCTACATATCCTACCACTATATAAATGCCGGGCTTTCTAGGAGAATTCAAGTTATCCCAACACATTACACAAAGCAAATTAGAGAACCTATCTATGTTCCTTGATAAAAGAGTAGGAAGCTCAACCAAAAAGCAACAATGAAGGTAGAAATTCTATCCAGAAAGTTCATAAAACCATCAACACTAACTCACCATAGCCTTCGCGACCACAAAATATCATTCATCGATGAGCTTGCTCCATCAATGAACGTGCCTATCATTCTCTACTACCCAGCCCAATGCAACAATGACACAGCCAAAAACGCTTCGTTGTTTAACCAGCTAGAAAAATCGCTAGCGGAGACCCTAACCCAGCTTTACCCACTAGCCGGAAGGTATATCAAAGACGATCATGTCATTTATTGTAATGACCAAGGGGTTGACTATGTGGAAGCCCGAGTGGATGTTCAGTTGCTTGAGTTTCTCGACCATGGCGATAAACCACAGTTTTTCAATCAATTCATTCCACGCGAAACTGGGGCGGTTGATGAAACCACAGATCCTCTGCTATCAATTCAACTCAGCATGTTCGAGTGTGGTGGACTAGCGGTTGGTGTGAGCATGGCACACAGGATTGCAGATGCATCCACACTCAGCACATTCCTTATTGCATGGGCCATTGCAAGCCGAGTGGGGATCGATAATGTAACCGTCCACCCAAGTTTCAACTCGGTTTTCGTCCCAGGAAGAAACTTACCAGTGCTGAACCTCGGGATACCTAGGAGTGGGGACAATGGGGCCAAGACGAGAATGTTTTTCTTCAATAAGAAGGCAATATCAACTCTGAGAGCCAAAGCCAGCACAGACAATGACAATAAGGGGACCCACGAGGGTGCAGCTGGTGTCAGCAGTTATATGGAGGGCACTGGTTGCTGTGGCTCGGGCAAAACATGGGCACCCATGGGCCTCTGGTGTGCTCCAGACAATAAACTTGAGGAAAAAAACAGTCCCTCCTCTTAAGGAACATTCATGTGGAAACTTCTGGGGACTTGCTATGACGGGGTGCATGGGAGATGAGAGCAAGATGGAGTTGCAAGGCTTTGTGGATCTGATAGGCGCTGCTATCAGAAACACCGTTACAGACTCTGCAAATGTACTATCACTGGGAGAGGATGGGCACATGAAGTTGATCAAAGCTTTCATAGAGGCGAACCAAAACTTCTCCAATGCAAAGATGGATAGTTATCTATTTACTAGCCGGTGTAGGTTCCCCTTCTATGAAATTGATTTCGGTTGGGGAAAGCCTGTTTGGACAAGTCTTGTCAGCATGCCTGTGAAGAATTTTATATGTCTAATGGACAACAAAGAGGGTGATGGAATTGAAGCATGGGTGCTCTTGGATGAGAAAGACATGGTTAACTTCGAACAGGATCAGACCATTAGAGCCTTCACCACTTAAGCCAGAGTTTGTCAACCTTATGATGTGTTTTATGGAGCATATGGTTCTTTAGTTAATGTTTCGGCTAATAGGGTAGGTGTTTATGCCGTTTATTTTCCATTTGTTTGGCTTTAATTTTTTTTTTTCAAGTTTCTCATCGATTTAGGTCTTTTCTATTTCAATGGGTCTTGTTCCCAGTAGTTAAGGTTGCTTATCTAGGTTAATGGGTCTTGTTCCCACTACTTAAGGTTACTTATCCATGTCAATGGGTCGTATTTTAATGGAATAAAAATTTCATTTACTTCCCCCAAAATAGTTATTACCCTATAGAAATTTTCAAATCACAAGCTTCACAAGGGAAAAAAAATTAACTAAAGATCTTTTGGGTACCAGCTAACATAGCAAAATATACCATAAATAAATAGTGAAAAAGAGCATAGATATGTGATAACTGGGCAAAGTATCCTTTTCAAGAATAAGGCTGTGTTTGGTTAGAAGATATGGAAAGATATTTTAAAAGAAAAAGAAAAAATATGGATGAAATATGAATAAAATATATTTATATTTTACCTAATTTCACACATATTTTCTATTTTTCTTTCCAAATCCTTTCTTAAATTCTCTAATCAAACACAACATAAATATATCAAATTCAATAGACAAAGCACGGACTTGTAGTCAAAAAGTTTATAAGGGCCTCTATCATACGACTTATAATGAACCAACCAAATTCATTTTTTTGTACAAAGAAAGAAGAAAAAGGGCGGGGGAACTTATGTCCAACAAACGCACAGGTTTACATAAACACAACCACAGGGTTGTGGAATATGTGGATTCCAAAGTTGATTAGTGCTGTTAAAAAAGCCAGTTTGAGCACAATTATTAAGGCCAAAGGAAGAAACAAGTAGCACATTAACATAATCCTTTTTTTATTTTTTAGTTTTGATAAATAAAGAGCACATTAACATAATCCTGTAGGCAACATATATACAAGAACTATATATATACATCAGCGACTTGTAAGATTAATGAAACTTCATATGATAGCATGATGTATAGACCTCAAGTGAACATAGCAGTCATCGCTGTTGCAGAAGCATTCCAAGCACACCCAGCAAATGTGTTTCCTACATCTGCACTCAATGTGGTTGCACCCATCCACCTTCTCGATCATGTACCCGCAGACTAGGCAGCTCTTCACATGCTCTTTCCCCTGGCACCATTCTTTCAGTGACGAGTCCGGGTCCTCCTTGAACTCCTTGTATCTTTCACACGACATGAACGGGTGATATTCCAAGTGACAACCAGTACATGTTTCCGCATAGCAAGACCCACACGCAAACGGCCAACAAGTCATCCCCGGTTCTGTTATCCTGTAAACTGAAGGGCAGTCGGGAAATGGGCAAAACTTGTATTTGCCACCACTAGATGCCACAAATGCCCCCAGATAAGCCCTGAAGAGTTCTTCCAACTTTTCACAAGATAACAGAGACCTCAAATCCATGAGCAAGATGTGCTCACCACACATCTCACGGGCACAACCAAGGAGGAACCCATCACGGCTTTTAATTGCAGATTCTAGTTGTTCAACCAAGCACGATTGACAGAACTCATGTCCACATGCTTCCAGCTGATATGAGTCCTTGACCTCACACAAGCAGATAAGATAGGTGGAGGCCTCACCACCAGGATGCTCTTCTAGATCATTAACATTGAGAGAGCAAGCAAATTCATAGATTACTTTCTCTGCTGCCTGCTTCACCTCCTTGCTTCCACGGACACAGATGACATGGTGCTTCGCATCAAGGGTCAACTCAGCCTCAGGTACCTTCTCCTTAAGCCCACGTATGTCTGGCCCAAACTTCTCAACCACTTTTTTCATAAGATCATGAGGCAAAACTCTGTTTCGAAGACAGATTTCCAGTGGTTTGTCTTCGCGGAGAGTTAAAAAGAGACTGTACCAGTTTCTTCTCAGCCAAAGCAACCTTGTCTTCTGAACCAAAGACCCTTACATTTAGGTTCTGCCTGTCAAAGAAAATGTATGTTCCTGTTTCTTGCTAGACTGATTTCATGAGCATAATACCCTCTCGGGAAAAGAGAAGCTGCAGTATAGTAGGCGTGAGGCTGTCATGAGTCACAAGCTTTCCTTTCATTAGCTGGTCCAGAGGTTTCCTCAACTTTGCCACTGCCTTTGTAGCATTAGCAGATATCTTGACCCGATAAGAGCCATACTCAGTCCTTTCCAAATTGTAAGATACACCTGTGAAGTAAATTGATTCAAGACTGTCATGACCCCATTCCGCCCCTGGTAGAATGGTGCCATGATGGCCAAAAACCCGAGGTTACCAAAGGCCACTTACAAGATTCACACACACAAACAGAGTATACATATGGAGCTTACAAGTGCGGAAGCAATAAATTTAATTCCAATTAGTCCATAAGAGCTGTGCATAAGTTAAATGGAATGGCATACATCATTACATAGTTTCACAACTTAGATACAAACATTATAAGGTACAAAAATACATCCTGACCAAAAGGCTTCTCAAGCCGACATATACAAAAGAATTCAACTATAAGCCGAGAAGCATAATCTTCAAGATGTTGCAAAATATGAATTCAAAACACATCGGCAAAACACATCTAGGCGTCGCCGCCGTCCTGCTCATCACCTACATATATATAGAGAGGGGTGAGCTTGGATACTCAGTGAATGGTACAAATAATAAAGGGGTTTACATGAATGATATTCAAGTTCTTTCCAAGCAATACATAACATAATTAGTGCAAAGTCAAGAGTTGAACCAAATCCAACTAGCAAATCTTTCAAAGCTTCAAGGGATGCTTACTAGCATCAATATAGTATAAGTGATGACATCTTGGACAAACAGATCCACGCGGTGAACCGTCAGTGGCAAGACAAGGCAAGACAAGACAAGAGAGATGTCTCAAATCAAGGGTGTCGTTGCATTATAGTCCCCGAACACTAAGGACTTGTGCTACAAATGCTTAAAGTCCCCTAGCACGTACGGATTTCCAAACTTTGTGCTACAAATGCTTATAGTCCCCTAGCACGTACGGACTTCCAAGAATGTCATCAAAACAAGATACACTACTTGATGTACAAAAATAAGAGTAATCATTCATGCTACAAATACTTTCCAAAACAAAACAAAACAAAGCTTTTATCGAAACATTATAACATATCTTTATTAAAAATACCACTCACATATCCCTTCAAACGTCGGGGTCAAGGCGAGGTCCAAGTCCTACAAACACATAACAGGGTTTGCTGAATGCACCTTTCAAAACAAATCTCGGTCTGACACAATTGACATCGGCATTCTCACCAGATCCAAGTCAATAACAAAGCAAAACATGCTAGGAGTTTAAACACTGCTTTTCGTCTCATGAAAACACACTAGGTACCAACCAGGTCTTTGCCGAGGTTCCATACCTTCTTGCCGAGGTGTGGTCCCGATGGCCACATTCAAAAGCAAAGTCGGGAAAAACCTGGGTTTCCCTTTTGAAGAACATGAAGAACATGATCATGAAGAAGATGAATGCAAAGATCATAACTTGTTACAAAATCCGAGATTTCACGCCATGAGTTCAAAACATGGACCTGGGCACCCATACGAGAAGATCATGCAAGAACAAACATAAAAACATAGTTCTTGTTCCAAACTTTCGGATCAAAATGAGACTTTCCTTCAAGAATACATGAATACTATCTTTTTCTTCCAAAACCCTCTTCAAATCGATGCATGTCATGCAAAACAGACTCGATCGTGCAATGTAGCTAGATGATCAATAAGAACTGTTAATCATATTATTTAATTTTGATGATGTTTAAAATATTATTTGTAACAATTTGGATTTTTTTAATATACATATTATTTGACACAAAATATTATCTTTTTAAAAATATATATTTGTTAAATATTATAATAAAAATATTTTTGAAAACTTTACTATTCACTTTTTGAAAATTTAGGTTGATCACTATTCACTTTTTGACAAAATAAAAATATTTTTGAAAACTTTACTATTCACTTTTTGAAAATTTAGGCTGATCACTATTCACTTTTTGACAAAATTAAAATTGATTAAAATGATTGATTGGTTGCATTATCTTGACAAATATGATATTAATGAGTTGTCTTCTTTTGACAAAAGTGATATATCCAAATGTGTAGTGGTAGAATATATTTAGTTTAAAATCTCTACAACATATACAATATTTTAAAGATGACATACATTTTCAGATCCATCATAAATATCATTTAAAGAGACTTTTCTGTATGCAAATATTTGATTAGAACATTATATATATATTGCATATAATATAAATAGAATACATCACGTGCGCTATTAAATTTTTTACATTACATTGATTATATCATATTATAATCAAACAAGAAGAAAAAGATGGAGTTATATATGTATATAGATGGAGCAAATCATCTGTTTGTTTAAAAGTTGTGAACTTTGTATTAAATTGTCTACAAAAATGGTGGCTCCATGTTTGAAAAAACAAAAAGAAAAAAATCAGTCTTATTTTTTATCTTTTGCTGACTATTCAAAATCAAGGAGTGTGCTTATGTAAGCGATGACATCAAGAGTGTGCTTATGTAAGCCATGACATCAGGAGCGTGCTTATGTAAGCCATGACGTCAGGAGCGTGCTTATGTAAGCCATGACGTCAGCAAGGAGTGTCTAACGGGTATATTTTTGTGTATAAATAGAGGTGTTGGATGTGGAGAAGAAATCAAGAACTTGAAGAGAAAATTTTCTGTGAGCTCAAAATTGTATTCTTCTCTTTCACTTTCAGATCTAAGTTTAGCTTTTGTTCTTACACTTTCATATTTACTCTTTGTGAGAGAATTGTTGTAAAAGTGGGTTCAATTACCACTTATTCTTATTCCTTATTTTTGTGAGAGATTTTGTAAGGGTAGGGCATTTATTGTTGAGTGAGGCTCAATAGATAAGAGTAAGCCCTGTGCCAAATCCACAAGCTT